AAATTTTGAAAATTTCAAAAAAAAAAAAATTTTGTTTTTTTTAAATATATATTTTTTAATGATCTCCTTAAAAAATTTGTATTTCTATTGTTATGTCTTTAGCCCTCAACCTCAACAAAAGTTATGTTAGTTCTGCCCTGATTAGTAGATTGGTCCCAATGAGGGTTGATTACAGCTAGGGGAACCCCAGCACTCAAAAGCTAACTAATACTAATGTTCCGATTTTGTGGCTGTGATGAAATTATTTATTCAGATTTTTGTTGATGTTTACCATATTTAATACTTGTGTGAGGTGCCCTTATGACCCACCAGGAATTTCTTGTTTCTATGAGCTTAGCTTTGACATCTCAACCTATTGTCGATGTGGCAAGAGATATTGCTTTAATTTAGACTTCTTTACGGAACACTCATTTTACTTATTTTACACAAAGGGACGACCATATATTCTAATCCTAAAGAACTCGATTGTTTGAGCCTTTGAGGAGGAAAAACATATACTAATCATTGAGAGGTTTCGGTTACTATTTCAGTCATTTTAACTGACAGCTTTCGACCATGTGATGTGATGATGTGAATGGTTAATTTTTACAAACTTTGCTTGCTCAAATACATAACAAATTACTTGCCGGGCATTTGTATGGTAAGAAATGGTAAATCCTGAACACGAATCAGTAATCAGTAAATTTTGGCTCATTCTTGGGTAAAGGAGTGTCAACAACAGTAATAATGCTATTATAGTAGTCGGAGATGCATAAAAATTTGTGTGGTCTGTCGTTTGCCGGCGTCGTATAATTGAAGTATACTATGCCTTCATCCGATTGTTGTAGTATTGTGTCCCCTTATCTTGTCCTTCTCAGAAGCCACACCATCCATTCTTAGCCTCAGCATTGATAGTCAACTCTCCTATCCAATGTGAAATTTGTTATGCTTTAAAGTTTAAACCGCCTTAACCTCATAAAATAAGCTATATATATGTGCTTTTCTAATCTCCCTATTTAGTTCCTAGCCTGCCTAAACTTTGTGTTTTAGCATTACTAGATTGCTAGCAAAAAGGATGTCGGTGGATCATTTCAGTGGTGTTGGTTGTGCCTGGAGAGAGATGCAGAGCTTCGGGTTGAACCTGATTATTGGACGTTGGTTCATGGTCTTTGCTTCACTGCTTATCATGTCCGTGGCAGGTGCAACATATATGTTTGGTCTGTATTCAACTGTTATTAAATCATCTTTGGGGTATGATCAAACTACTCTCAATCTGCTAAGCTTTTCCAAGGACTTGGGTGGCAACGTTGGGGTCCTATCAGGGCTCATCAACGAGGTAACGCCTCCGTGGGTGGTTCTCTTGATTGGGTCAGTTATGAATTTCTTTGGCTATTTCATGATATGGCTTGCAGTCACCGGCCGCACTGCCAAACCCCATGTGTGGCAAATGTGTGTATACATCTGCTTAGGTGCGAATTCACAAGCCTTTGCCAACACCGGGGCTCTTGTCACTTGTGTCAAAAACTTCCCTGAAAGCAGGGGAAGTGTTTTAGGCCTGCTGAAATCTTATGTTGGTCTGAGTGGTGCAATCCTGACACAGCTATACCATGCTTTCTATGGAGACAACTCAAAGTCTCTTATCTTGCTGATCGCTTGGCTTCCTGCTGCTGTTTCCTTCGTCTTTCTTCGAACGATTCGGATTATAAAGATTGTTCGCCAGACAAACGAGCTCAGAGTTTTCTATTATATGTTTTATATTTCTCTTGCCCTTGCTGGTTTCCTTATGGTTTTAATTATCATACAAAACAGGCTAAGTTTTAATAGAATTGAGTATGTAGGAAGTGCTTCTCTTGTTGCTATATTACTGCTCTTTCCACTCATTGTTGTTATCAGAGAGGACTTCAAAATTTGGAGAAGAAAGAATCAAGCCTTGAATGATGTTTCCCAGATGAAAGTAGTAACAGAAAATCCACCAACCGTTGAATTAGCACCACAAACAGTGACAGTGGAGTCACTGCAGCCACAACCAGCCGGAGATCCAAAAAGTCCATATCAGAAACATGTTGCTTGCATGGAAAACATCTTCAAGCCACCAGACAGAGGTGAAGACTACACTATATTGCAAGCACTTTTTAGCATTGACATGTTGATTCTCTTCATTGCAACAACATGCGGTGTTGGAGGAACATTGACAGCTATCGACAACTTGGGGCAGATTGGTAACTCATTGGGCTACCCAAGTCGTAGTATAACCACTTTTGTATCACTTGTGAGCATATGGAATTACCTTGGACGAGCAGTGGCTGGTTTTGCTTCTGAATACTTATTGACAAAATACAAGATGCCGAGGCCATTGCTGTTCACTTTCGTGATTCTCTTTTCTTGTGTTGGCCATCTTTTGA